AGTGGAAAATATTTTATTTTGCTGATCTTTAGTTTTATTTGAAGGAAATAGAAGCAATTTTGTTCATACTTGTTTATCTCGTGTGTCTTCAATAAAGGTAACTGTTTATCAAATATCTTTCATAATTATTGTCTGAATCCCGATATACATGCTAAAAGGTACATCTTCCTTAAGTTTTGTTCACACTTAGTTATCTCGTGTGTCTTCAATAAAGGTAACTGTAATCTATATATATATATATATATAAAATGAATGTATGTGTGTGTCTGTCCTTTATGCCTGACCAAACCACTCATTGGAACGCCATGAAACTTTGGGAAGTTATTTAAAAGAGTACTGGGAAGGTTTCTAGCAAATAAAATTTTTGAAATAACTTTTCGCCTAAAAATAATCAAGATAAATATTCTAAGTTATCTGTCATAATTCAACAATCTGCTATAAATATTATCATGATGATACGATGATTTTGTAATGTAGAAAATTAGGAAAGACAAAATTTCAGGATGACACGGCAATTTATTTGAGACAAGAATAATGATACAATTCCAAGGCAAGATACTATTCTTTTAACTTCCAATTACCGAGGGAACCAATTAATATTGATTTTATTCAACTTATCGAGTATTTTTCAAAGGACCCGGGAAAAAATGTTCACTTTATCGAGAGATTCGTTAGACAAACCTTTACTCGGGTAAAACCCGGGCGAAGCCGGGTACATCCATACAAGAATAATGATACAATTCCATGGCAAGATACTATTCCTTTAAATTCCAATTACCGAGGGAACCAATTAATATTGATTTTATTCAACTTATCGAGTATTTTTCAAGGGACCGGGAAAAAATGTTCACTTTATCGAGAGATTCGTTAGACAAACCTTTACTCGGGTAAAACCCGGGCGAAGCCGGGTACGTCCGCTAGTATCTTTCATGAATATTGTCTAAATACCGATATACATGCTAAAAGGTACAACTTCCTTAAGTTTTTTTTCACACTTAGTTATCTCGTGTGTCTACAATAAAGGCCACTGTAATATCATCCAGAGTTATTGTCTGAATCCTGATATATATTCTAAAAGGTATAACTTCCTTAAGTTTTATCTATAAGTGTATGTATGAATCTATTTTAATATTAATAAATATTTATATAAAATCTTATATTCTAAAAACTTAACAAATTCACAAAATGGAATTTGAACTGGGATCAGGTTGATAATATCTTACGCACTCCTCATAGAATTAATTAATTTAGAGAATAACTATAGATATAGAATAGATATAACTAATAAATAAAACTGTGAATGATAACCATTGAGGATTTATTTAGTTAATCCATTACGGACGTCATCGCTTCACGCTCTGGATTGCTCGCTATCGATTGGTAAATTGGTGTGAATGGATGTCATTAAGTTGTGTGAGACCATGAACAACCCAGGATTAAGTGGAGACCTCTGTTCTCCTATATTGTTACGTCTCGATATATACGGATCTTCAGTATTATTGTGTGAATTCTTCTTTAAATTGATAAATATGAATATCATAGCCCCTATCGAATAATCGAGGCTATATAAAAATGTTTACTAATTAGTAAAAATGTATTGGAAGGAGATATAAGTTTTCTCAGGTGGATTTGGGGCAACAGACTTGGCCTTTAGGACAGGCGCCTCGGATAGGATTGGCAGATATATTACTCATTTATGTGTGTGAGATATTATATGTGGCGCATTTACAGTAAGAGAATCAGTCTCAAGCCCCTACGCTAGGGACTTAGGATTTAGTAGCAATATAGGAGTCCATTGTATCATACTCTCCTTTCAGATCAATAGAGTTACCTCGATAACCCCTTTGGCAATTTGGGAAAAAGCCTATTGCCAATTATGATGGTATAGCTAATTCACTTATCTAAGTCTTCTCTTTGTGCGCCTAGAATTGTATTTAGATAAATATGACCATTACAATGAGGGACATTATATTATCATAGTTGAGCCTGTCTATAGCGCCCCCTCTAAATAGCGCCTCCCTCTCTATAGCGCCCGATTCTAAATACGTAGTAAGATGCGATTTACATTAAAAGTGACCTGTCTATAGCACCCACTCTAAATAGCAGCTCCCTCTCTATAGCGCCCGATTTTGAATACGTAGTAAGATGCGATTTACATTAAGAGTGACCTGTCTATAGCACCCCTTTTAAATAGCACCTCCCTCTCTATAGCGCCCGATTTTGAATACGTAGTAAGATGCGATTTACATTAAAAGTGACCTGTCTATAGCACCCCCTCTAAATAGCGCCTTCCTTTCTAAAGCGCCCGATTTTAAATACGTAGTAAGATGCGATTTACATTAAAAGTGACCTATCTATAGCACCACCTCTCTATAGCACCCTATTTTGGTGAGTCCCAAGAGGGGGCGCTATAGACAGGTTCAACTGTATTAAAATAATAATACATATTTTTGACTTGAAATTTTGATTATTAAATCAATAATAAGTAGATATACTACCATCCTACTGCATCCTTATGTTGTATCTGACATGAAAAACATGAAATATATAAAATAAATTCATAAATATATAAGATATCAAAAGTATATATATTTCATAATTTGTATAATATACAATATGTATAATTTCTTTTCGCCAAAATAAGTATGTAAATATGTTAAGCTTGTGTTAAAATGTAAATATACAAATTCATCTATCTATAAATACACTGTACAAAATTAAACGTGGCAGACATCGCGGGCGAATGCTACGGCACGTCGCGGGTGCGCTGCTCTCTTGGTTGGAACTAATTCTTGCATCCTTCCATTCGATCACGACATATATATATCAGCAAAACCTATTCTAAAAATATTATTATACACAAATATGAAAAAAAATAATATAAAAACTTTTCATTTTTAATTTTTTTCTATTATTTTTTTTTTTCATATTGAAAAGGAAAAATATATATATATCAACATAATAATTAATAAACATTGAATATGCAAACTTCTTAGTAAATATTTGAAATATATATGATATTATCATTTGAATAGATAATTAATTATTTGTTCCCAATCCCAATAGTACATTGATAAATGTATATTATGAATATTCACCCTAGTGATAATTTTTTAAAAGGAACCTGCAAGAGTTTCCCTAATTTGTGAAATTCGGGAAGTGGTATAGTAGAATATGTTTCAGGGTGAATTCATTTTTACTAATTAGCCTGATCATTAGCTGGGTGCTATGGTAATTGGAGCCATTTATTATTATTTTTAATTTAGCTAATTAGATGAGCGGCAGGATAATATTGAGTTACCCGTTTGATAATACCTAATTAACTGGACCAAATTATGCCTGGAAGGGCTCCATACATTCCCAAAATTTTACTATCAACCATTACCTATATTTCGGATTTTAAAATAGAAATATGTAAAAATGTAATGGGAGAATACATTTTATAAAATATTTGATATAATTATGGTTATAATATTAGATAAGTATGATTCATATGATCACACGTATCGTTTTATTGAAATTTAGGAATTTCTATTTTAACGTTAACTTTCTTTTTTTAAATATATATAAATAAATTTATTTTTAAAATAGAGCAATCCATAAATAAATCTTTAATTGAAAATGCATATATTGGATAAAAATAATTTATTTTACCGATTTTTCAGTTGGCTGAACGCCAATCTTTATCAAGGTATTATAACATATTGAATATGTGTCAACAACAAACTCAGCGCCACATAACGTCAACAGAATTAGGTTTTGAAAAATATTTTGTTATATTCAATGGGGAGAAAATTTTGATATATATATTTATATTATGGACAAAATAATTTTTGTAAAATATGGGTGTGAATATTTTGAAAATTAACAATGGCACCTATTTTATATATACAATTATTTGTACTATGTTTACTTGGGATAACTAACATGAATACGACAAAAAGGGATCGATGAAAGGATGGTCTAAACGACCCGGGATCGAATCCGCATTGGACAATTTTTTTTCTAATTAAATAAAAATAATTCTCTAATGACCCTCAATTATTGCAAATGTCCAACCCTACCAGCGAGTGCAAGTAACCAAATGGGGCTCTGGGACATTTTGGAAGTGTAAGGTCGAACTGCTTTTCACACGTGTAGACATGTTACAGTAAAAGCAGTCGCCTACTTCTACCCACCATGATTATCTTTTTCTCGGTTCCAAAATCACTTTATTAGGTACCACTCAACAAGAGCAAACTAGTTTAAGATAATTGCAACAATGAATTATAAGTGAAGGTTATTCACATTTTAAACAAATGGTTAACGCGGGATTAAATACCGGTTCATGGCTGTCGGGAATCGAGGGTGTTACCTACTCGTCGACCGACTTCTTTACTAGCGGACGTACCCGGCTTCGCCCGGGTTTTACCCGAGTAAAGGTTTGTCTAACGAATCTCTCGATAAAGTGAACATTTTTCCCCGGTCCCTTGAAAAATACTCGATAAGTTGAATAAAATCAATATTAATTGGTTCCCTCGGTAATTGGAAGTTAAAGGAATAGTATCTTGCCTTGGAATTGTATCATTATTCTTCTCTCAAATAAATTGCCGTGTCATCCTGAATTTTGTCTTTCCTAATTTTCTACATTACAAAATCATCGTATCATCATGATAATATTTAGAGCAGATTGTTGAATTATAACAGATAAATTAGAATATTTATCTTGATTATTTTTAGGCGAAAAGTTATTTCAATTTTTTTTTTGCTAGAAACCTTCCCAGTACTATACTAAATAACTTCCCAAAGTTTCATGGCGTTCCAATGAGTGGTTTGGTCAGGCATGAAGGACAGACAGACACACATGCATTCATTTTTATATATATACTAGACGTATGACCCGGCTTCGCGCGAGAATTCCCCCGATGGCTATTTCTTTTTTTCATTTGAAAAACTTTTTTTTTTTTTACACGGAGTAATCCGGAATGGAATGAATACCCAAATATGACCATTTTTGATAAGAATCGGTGGTTCAATGGTAAAAAAAAAAAGTGGTAAAGTGGTTTCGCCTGCCACGCGGGCGGCCCGGGTTCGATTCCCGGCCGATGCATTTTTTTTTTTACAATTTTTAAAACTCATTTATATTATATATAATATAAATATATATTATAATATCAACTATATTAATTAAATCAAATACCTAAACACTAATATAATACAATTTTTGCCATCACACACACTTTTTTCCTGTAGTTTATGTGTTACTTCTGTATTGCTATTCTATGGCACTTCTAATATTTATTATTGATGTACTTTCAGTATGAAGGAAATTGCAATCGGGGGAATTCTCGGGCGAAACCGGGTCATACGTCTAGTATATAATATAAATGAGTTTTAAAAATTGAAAAAAAAAATGCATCGGCCGGGAATCGAACCCGGGCCGCAGCGTGGCAGGCGAGCATTCTACCACTGAACCACCGATTCTTATAAAAAATGGCCATATTCGGGTATTCATTCCATTCCGGATCACTCCGCGTAAAAAAAAAGTTCTTCAAATGAAAAAAAGAAATAGCCGAATATACAAATCAAAATGTAGCCGAAAATTTTCCTCAAGCTTATAAATAGCAACATGCAAAATTTGGTACCAATTGGTTCAGTCGTTTTTGAGTTTATCGCGAAACAGACAGACAGAAATTGACTTTTATATATATATAGAGATTATGGTCTGTATTTACGTGTATTAAGGATAATAATAAACTACGACAATTTTAGATATAAAATATTCAATTACAATCAACCAATGTCTAGTTAGTAAAGAGGGTTTAATGTATAAGACATTAATTTGATGTGTTTTCACACTGTAGACATGTGACACTTACAATAAAAGCAGTGTTTACTTCTACCCACCATGATTATCATGGTCTGTACCACGTGTACTAGAGATAATAATAAACTACGACAATTTCAAATAAAAAATATTCAATTACAATCAACCAATGTCTAGTTAGTAAAGAGGGTTTAATGTACAGGGTCCATTATGAAAGTAATGAGCATAATGTTATTGTGACGCGACGATAGATGGCAACACGGTAAAACTGTGGGAAATGTGGTGGAGGGATATGCCCTTTCAATCCATCTGGTCGTCAGTTGAGTTCGAGCAGTGTGAGGGGAGATACATGCCTCCGATTGAAGTGTGTTTTCAACTTTTGTAACATAGCGCGATGGAGCGTTCGCTTGAACAACGATACGCCATAAAGTTTTGCGTGAGGCTTGGAAAAAAATGCAACCGAAACATTCCAGATGCTGCAAAAACCCTTCAAGGACGATTGCATTTCAAGATCACAGTCTGGGAAGTGGCACAAGGCGTTCAAGGAGGGCCGGGAGGAGGTCGCCGACGAACCACGTTCAGGACGCCCAACAACAGCCAGAACTGACGAGAACGTAGATCGTGTGCTCGAAGTTTTGCATACCGACCGTCGATTAAGTATCCAGCAAATTGCTGACACATTACACATGTCCACATTTGTGGTACATGTGACCGAGGATCTGCAAATGCGTAAGGTCTGTGCGAAGCTTGTGCCGAAAGTGTTGACGCAAGACCAGAAAGAACTTAGAGTTTTGCGCTGTCAAGAATTGTTGGATTTGAATCAAAATGAACCGGACTTTCTGAACTCTGTAGTAACCGGAGACGAATCCTGGATGTTTGAATACGACCCAGAGTCGAAAAGGTAGAGCTGTGCATGGCACACAAAATCATCCCCACGCCCCAAGAAAGCGCGAATGAGCAAGTCGCGCATCAAAACGATGATCATTGTCTTCTTTGACATCCGAGGAATAGTCCATTGTGAGTTTGTACCGCAGGGACAAACTGTAAACTCAGCCTTATACCTGGAGGTGCTCAGGAGATTGGAACGCCGGATCCCACGCGTGAGGAATGACATTAAAGACACGGTCAAGCTCCACCATGTCAATGCCACCAGCCACACAGCCTTCATCATTACCAACTTCCTGGCCCGGAGCAACAACCCGGTGATCCCTCACCCCCCTTACAGCCCCGACTTAGCTCCATGTGACTTCTTTTTGTTTCCTAGACTCGAGAGAGATGAAAGGAAAACATTGGGAAACCGTGGAAAACATCCAACACCATGTTACAACGTTCCTGAGAAGCATTCCTGTCGAGGAGTTTCAGGGTGCCTTTCAGGCGTGGCAAACGCGTCTCCGCAAGTGTATTGATGCAGGAGTAATGTATTTTGAAGAATATTGAACATTTACACAAATTACGATCAATAAATGTATTTTGCCAGTGAATGCTCATTACTTTCATAATGGACCCTGTATAAGACATTAATTTGATGTGTTTTCACACTGTAGACATGTGACACTTACAATAGAAGCAGTCGTTTACTTCTACCCACCATGATTATCATGGTCTGTATCACGTGTAATAGGGATAATAATGAACTGCAACAATTTCAGATAAAAAATATTCAATTACAATCTACAAATTTGTCTAGTTAGTAATAGGGGTTTAATGTATAAGACATTAATTTGATGTGTTTTCACACTGTAGACATGTGACACTTACAATAAAAGCAGTCGTTTACTTCTACCCACCATGATTATCATGGTCTGTATCACGTGTAATAGGGATAATAATAAACTGCAACAATTTCAGATAAAAAATATTCAATTACAATCTACAAATTTGTCTAGTTAGTAATAGGGGTTTAATGTATAAGACATTAATTTGATGTGTTTTCACACTGTAGACATGTGACACTTACAATAAAAGCAGTCGTTTACTTCTACCCACCATGATTATCATGGTCTGTATCACGTGTAATAGGGATAATAATAAACTGCAACAATTTCAGATAAAAAATATTCAATTACAATCTACAAATTTGTCTAGTTAGTAATAGGGGTTTAATGTATAAGACATTAATTTGATGTGTTTTCACACTGTAGACATGTGACACTTACAATAAAAGCAGTGTTTACTTCTACCCACCATGATTATCATGGTCTGTACCACGTGTACTAGGGATAATAATAAACTACGACAATAAAAATATAAAATATTCAATTACAATCAAGCAATGTCTAGTTAGTAAAGATGGTGTAATGTCTAAGACATTAATTTGATGTGTTTTCTCACAACTACACAATGTTTGTAGAAGGAAGTCATGTTCTACGATCTCCAGTTTCCTAAATATTTGATTTCAAATATAAATCTTTTAGCGAATGGGCTAAAGTTACATTGCCTCTGGCAGAGTCGCCTAGTGTTATCTTTAAATGTGTACTCAATGAATATTTTAAAATGAATTATTTTTTTTAAGTATATATATATATATATATATAAAAATATTTTCTATTATTTGAAGAACTAAAATATGTCTATTTTTTAAAATACTTATTTGTAATATGTATTTGAAAATTTAAATATTCAGTTTACTATTCAATTTAATCGTTTGAGGGTCGTCTTTTCTAAACCAAAAATAAATTTCAAAAATGTGATAATCATTAATTCTTTATATATATTTTATGACAAATTTAATGTGGGTGTATATAGGTTTATATTATGATGCATTAGCGCGCCATCTGTAATGAAAATTCGAAACTATTATAGGCGCGTATGATTCTTATAAAAATTATAAATTTTTCTACTGTCCTCACTTCAATTGAATTAATTGTTCCATTGTACTAAAGGCAGTAGAAATTGTTTTATTTTTAAAAGAATCATACGCGTCTATAATAGTTTTAATTTTTTCATTGCAGTAAGGGCAGTGGAAATTGTTTTATTACAAAAAGAATACTACGCGTCTAAAATAGTATCGTAATTTGATAACAGATGGCGCGCTAGTGCATCGTAATATATAGGTTTAATTGAGAAAAAAAAACGATTTCATAGAGTTTGGAAAATTACTTCAAATCGGGAACCTTATGATTTTTAGGAATAAATATAACTATACATCAACCAATTATATATTTAATCCCCGATATTTCAATGACTCACTGTTACCCTCCTCATGGGAATGATTTGTGATTTTCTCTATCAGTAATTTGTTAGTCTTTAAATGTACAAAGTCTTTTGTTTTTAAATGAAAAAACTAAGGATTCAATTTTGAAGATATAAAACAAACAAATATACTATATAATGATATTCATTTTTTTTTGTGAAAACTAAGATATATATGTTATAAATAAAAAAAAAGAGATTTCTGTTGATTTTTGATTATTTTGAGGATTATGCTATGGTAATGCAGTCGTAGTTAAAATCTTGAACGTAAAATAATAAAAATAGTTTTGATCATAGATTGCTTTAATTGAGCTAAGGAATATATATAAAATACATAATTTGATAAAAAGAACTGCCTGGCTTAAGGCGTAAGAATAAAAAAATGTAAAACTTATTTACATAATGTACAAAAGGCTTGAGCCGGCCATCGGGAAACAATAACAATGAGTTTTTATAGGGGAAGCGTGACCTCTGACGGTCTTTTTAACAGAGTATTTGAATCTATGAAATATATTTTTAAATAAAATAATATTTTATATAACATATATATGGTAATATATATTACATGCATCATATCATTCCAGCCAGTCCTGAACATCTAATGAATTGTATCAAATCCTCTAAAAAAAGACCTTTGGGAAAACCTCAGGATTAAAATAGAAAAGCTGAGATAATGGAACCTAATGGAGATCATTTAAACGACATGAGGAATAAGTAACAATATCATATCATCTTTTTACCAATTCTAATCCTATATTTCACATATTTGAGCCAATAATCACTTACTAAATAGGATGGTTAATTTATAAAATAAAATAGAAATTTGCGTCATGAATATATCAATGTATTTATTTATATATATAATATTTGATTTGAAAATAGAGAAATCCATAAATAAATCTTTAATTAAAAAGGCATATATTGGATCAAAATATCATTTATTTTACCAATATTTCAGTTGTCTGAAGGCAAATCTTTATCAAGGTGTTATAACATATTTAATGTGTTCAAAAACATGGGTTCGGTCAACTGAAATATTGATAAAATAAATGATATTTTGATCCAATATATGCCTTTTTAATTAACAATAA